GGAGGAGGACCTGCGATCCGGAGGACACGCCTGGGACGGGAGGAGGAGCCTGCGATCCGGGAGGGAGCACGCCTGGGACGGGGAGGAGCACGCCTGCGATCCGGGGGAGGGAGCACAGCCTGCGAACACGGGGAGGGAGCACGGTTGGGAGGGGAAGGGAGCACGCCTGCATCCGGGAGGGAGCACGCCTGGGACGGGGGAAGAGAGCTGCCTGGGAGGAGGGAGCACGCTGCGATCCGGGAGGGAGCACGCCGGAGGGGAGGGAGCACGCTACGATCCGGGAGGGAGCCACGCCTGCGATCCGGGGAGGGAGCACGCCCTGGGATCCGGGGAGGGAGCACGCCTGGGACCCGGGGAGGGAGCACGCCTGGGACGGGGGAGAGCACGTGACGGAGGGAGCACGCCTGGGACCGGTGAGAGCACCTACGCGACCCGGGGAGGGACACAGTTGGACCGGGGGAGCACAGATTTGAAGGGAGGGAGCACCACACTGGACCCGGGAAGGGAGCACGGTCTGGACCGGGGAGAGCACGCCTGGGAGCCGGGGAGTGGGAGAGAGCACGCCCTGCGACCATGGGGAGGGAGCACGCCTGGAAAAGACCAGGGAGGAGCCACACACCTGCACCAGGAGGGAGCACGGGTTTGGGACCAGGGGAAGGGAGCACAGCCTGCGACCACGGGGAGGGGCACAAGCCATAGCGAACACCCCGGGGAGGGAGACACAGACACAGGGACCCGGAAGGGAGGAGCAGGCTGGGACGGAGAGCGGAGCACGCCTGGGATCCGGGAAAGAGCACACATGGATCCGGAGGACACACGCTGGACAAAGGGAGGAGCTGCGATCCGGAGGGAGAGACGCTGCGATCCGGGAGGGAGCACGCTTGCGACCCCGGGAGGGAGCACCGGTTTGGGAACCGGGAGGAGCACGCCCTGCGAGTCCGGGAGGAGCACGCCTGCGATCCGGGGAGAGCAGCTGCGATCCGGGAGGCAGCACGGTTGGGCGGGAGGGAGGGACGCGGCGACCCGGGAGGAGCACAGTTGGAACACGGGAAGGGACACAGTTGACCGGAGGGACACCCCTGCCGGCGCGACCCGGGGAGGGAGCACGGTGGGACCGGAGGGGCACGCTGGACGGGGAGGGAGCACCCCTGCGACGGGGAGGACAGCATGCGTCGGGGCAGGAGACACGCCTGCGATCCGGGGAGGGGAGGCACGCCTGGGACCGGAGGGAGCACGCCATTGCGATCCGGGGAGGGAGCACGCCTGCGATCCGGGGAGGGAGCCACGCTGCGATCCGAGGGAGGGAGCACGCCTGCGATCCGGGGAGGGGAGCACGGTTAGGACCGGGAGGGAGCACCGGTTACCCGGGGAGGAGAACGCCTGCACCGGGGAGGGAGCAACGTGCGAATCCGGGGAGGGAGCCACGCCTGCAATCCGGGGAGAGGAGCACAGCCATGGAACCAGGGAGGAGCACGCCTTGGACGGGGAGGCAGCACAACCTGGGAGGGGAGGGAGCACGACCTGGAGCCGGGAGAGAGCACGCCTGACGACGGGAGGGACGTAACGGTTGGGTCACTCCCTCCCCGGATCGCAGGCGTCCTCCCTCCCCGGTCCCAGGCGTGCTCCCTCCCCGGATCGCAGGCGTGCTCCCTCCCCGGATCCCAGGCGTGCTCCCTCCCCGGATCCCAGGCGTGCTCCCTCCCCGGATCCCAGGCGTGCTCCCTCCCCGGATCCCAGGCGTGCTCCCTCCCCGGTCCCAGGCGTGCTCCCACCCCGGTCCCAGGCGTGCTCCCTCCCCGGGTCGAAGGCGTGCTCCCTCCCCGGTCCCAACCGTGCTCCCTCCCCGGGTCGCAGGGGTGCTCCCTCCCCGGTCCCAGGCGTGCTCCCTCCCCGGGTCGCAGGCGTGCTCCCTCCCCGGTCCCAGGCGTGCTCCCTCCCCGGGTCCCAGGCGTGCTCCCTCCCCGGATCGCAGGCGTGCTCCCTCCCCGGTCCCAGGCGTGCTCCCTCCCCGGATCGCAGGCGTGCACCACGGTGACCCCGAGAGTTCTCAAGGCCCCTGGAACTTGCCCCGTGTTCTCCTGTCCAGTCTCAGGCATTTGAAGTTGCACACGTATGTGTTCCCATGTCACGACGCTGCCGTTCGTTTCTGCTACCGTGGCTGCCTTCTCTCTTTAACCGACGTGACGTAAAACAAGCCGTCCCACCCAAGCGGGCAGTGCAGTGTTCTCGACGGGAGCTTGACCGCTGTGCGGATTCCATTCACGGCCTCTCGGGCGCTGGCAGCGTGGTGCCTCCCCTCTGTGACGTTCGGCCGTCTCCGCCACTCCCAAGGAGACCCGTCCCCATGGGCGGTCGCGGTCCACTCTCCTTCCCCAGCCCTGGCAGCCGACCGCCGGCCTCCCGCCCCTGGCCTTGCCTGTTCCGGACGTGCAAGGGCCTGTGGCTGCGTGTGCGTGTGCGAGACTGGAGCGTGTGCGTGTGTTTCATATGAAAGCTGGGGGTGCCGGGCTCCCTTCTCCTCCTCTGCCCTTCTCAGCCCCTCCCAGCCAGCCCCTCTGCGGGGGGTGGCCGGCGTCACAGACCCCAACCCCAGTCGCGCCAGGCGAGACCCTGGCGGCTCCCAGGCCCCCGGCCCCTCTCCAGAGCCAGGGCCTGCTGGGTGACACCCCCGGGCCAGCAGCCCCCAGCGGCTGTGTGCGGGGTCTGCCTGGCTGAGGGCCTGGGCGTGCGGCTGAGGGAAGGGGACGCGGGGCACACGCAGGGCTGCCGTCTCGCCCGGGGACTGCAGCCCCACTGTCCCCCTTGTTTCTCCCGTGCTCGGTTCAGTGGCGTTAAGCACGTGGCCGTTGTCCGGCCGCCGCCGCTGCCTCATCCCGAACGTCTCCCCCCGAAGCGGGCCCTGTCCCCACCGGACACTCACAGCCCAGCCCCCCCATCCCGCTTTAATGCCCAGTGGTCCTCCGGGCTCTTGGACACCTCCGGTGACGGGGAGCTCACTGCCTCGCCAGCCAGCCTGCTCAGTGCCCAGGGTGTGAGCCCGAGCCCACGTCCCTAAAGCCGTCCCCGCGGCCCAGGACGTGCTGCCTCCTCCTGCCCCACCAAGTCCCTCCCTGGCCTCCGCTCGGTGGGGCCTCTGCCCCTGTGCACCCTGGGTTCCGTGGCCCCCGCTCCCCAGCCGGGCTCCGACGCCCCCACTCCCCAGCTGCTCGGAGAGAACAGACTCCGGCCGCGGGACGCGGGGCAGCGGGAGTGTCTTCAGAACGACCACCCAGGCGATACGCATTGTAAAAACGCCCACGGTCCGTTTCCCCCCAACACACGCTGTCCCCCGCAAGGTTGCACCCGGATAGAAAACGCAGACAGAGAACCGTCCCGCGGCCGGACCCGCCGCCCGCTCCTCCGTGGCGGTGCCAGGCGCTCACCCTCTCTCGCTTGCCTCCCCAGGGACCTACCAGGGCCAGTGGGCCGGCGGCATGCGGCAGGGCTACGGCGTGCGGCAGAGCGTCCCCTACGGCATGGCGGCGGTCATCCGCTCGCCCCTGAGGACGTCCATCAACTCCCTGCGCAGCGAGCACACCAACGGCACGGCGCTGCACCCCGACGCCTCCCCCGCGGCGGGCAGCCCGGCCGTGTCCCGGGGCGGCTTCGTGCTCCTGGCCCACAGCGACTGCGAGGTCCTCAAGGGCAAGAAGAAGGGGCTGTTCCGGCGCTCGCTGCTGAGCGGGCTGAAGCTGCGCAAGTCGGAGTCCAAGAGCAGCCTGGCCAGCCAGCGCAGCAAGCAGAGCTCCTTCCGCAGCGAGGCCGGCATGAGCACGGTCAGCTCCACGGCCAGCGACATCCACTCCACCATCAGCCTGGGCGAGGCCGAGGCCGAGCTGGCCGCCGTGGAGGACGACATCGACGCCACCACCACGGAGACCTACGTGGGCGAGTGGAAGAACGACAAGCGGGCCGGCTTCGGCGTCAGCCAGCGCTCCGACGGGCTCAGGTACGAGGGCGAGTGGGCCGGCAACCGGCGCCACGGCTACGGCTGCATGACCTTCCCCGACGGCACCAAGGAGGAGGGCAAGTACAAGCAGAACGTCCTCGTGAGCGGCAAGCGCAAGAACCTCATCCCGCTGCGGGCCAGCAAGATCCGCGAGAAGGTGGACCGGGCCGTGGAGGCCGCCGAACGGGCCGCCACCATCGCCAAGCAGAAGGCCGAGATCGCCGCCTCCAGGTAGGCGGGGCGAGGGCCGGGGGCGGGGGCCCCTCCCGGTCACCCGGCAGGTGCGTGGGGGCCTGGCCTGGGCGGTGGGTCGTGCTGTCCCTGAAGACCCTGGCTTGGGCCCAGGTTGAGGTCTACGCTGGTGTTCCTCAAACTTTGCCCCGGGGGACCACTGGGGCTCCCCAGGGGTTTCTCGGCGGGGGCGGCGGGCAGGGGTGGGGCCGGGAAATGGTGGATCTGAGGGGCGCGCCTTCAAACAGAGCAGTGTCTGTCTGCCGTTCGCGGTGCCGGCATTTAACCTAAAACGCTGGCGGGTAAAGAGCAGGGGGGCTGGCTGGTGGCGTGATGGGTAGGACAGCCGCTGGCTGAGAGAAAGGGGTGATGCCCCCAGGTGGATGAGAGAGGAGGCCGGAGCTGCCCCGGCTCCCCAAGGCTGCGGCCCAGATCCTGCCTGGGCCCCGAGAGGCGGCCCCAGCTGGGAGACCGGGGGTCCGATTGTGGGTGCCCGGCGAGGGGCTCGCATGAGCCCCGGTTCTGAACGGGCTGCGGGACTCACTGAACTTGGGGTTCAGCGGGGCCCCTGGCCCTAAGGAACGAGTCGAGAGGTGCCCATGGGGTCCAAGGTGCCTGTGGGTGTGGGGTGCAGGGGTTTCAGGGCCAGACGAGGGGGTGCAGGGTCTGGCCCCCGGGGAGCCGTGAGGTGGCGTGTGCGCCCGGGGCTGGTCCCCGCTGGGCTGCGGGAGACGGGAGGCGGCGGTGGCGGGAGTCGCCTGCTGCGAGTTGGAGAAGGTCCCCCGGGACAGCCGAGGGCCCCGCAGGTGCACAGGTGGGGTCTGCAGGTGCCCAGTGACTCGAGGGTTGTGTCTCGGCTTCGGAAGGCATTTTAGGAAACCCGCAGCCGGACTGCAGCAGGGCTAGGTGGAAACGTGGGGTTGGAGCTGCCGTAGAGGGTCCCCGCTGGGGCAGTGCCCACCGGAGTTGTGCGGGCAGAACTGTCACCCGGAACTGTAGAGCAATCAGGCTGGGCGCGGTGGCTCACGCCTGTGATCCCAGCACTCTGGGAGGCCGAGGCGGGAGGATCGCTCAAGGTCAGGAGTTTGAAACCAGCCTGAGCAAGAGCCAGACCCTGTCTCTACTATAAATAGAAAGAAATGAATTGGCCAACTATAAATATGTAGAAAAAATTAGCCGGGCGTGGTGGCGCATGCCTGTAGTCCCAGCTACTCGGGAGGCTGAGGCAGGAGGATTGCTTGGAGCCCAGGAGTCTGAGGTTGCTGTGAGCGAGGCTGACGCCACGGCATTTACTCTAGCCTGGGCAACAGAGTGAGACTCTGTCTCAAAAGAAAAAAAATAAAATAAAAAATAGAGCAACCAGCCTGCAATGCCAGCCTGGGATTGCTGGAGCTGGGGGGGCCCAGCAAAGCCATGGGGGTGGGGCTGCTGGAGGCAGGCAGTGGGGGTCCAGTCTCCACCCCAGCCTGTCCAGGAAGCTGCATAGACTGGAGTCAGGGAAGATTTTTCTGGAGGCTCAAGATGTCATGTTCTTTTCCCTGTCGGGTTTTGGACTTACCTGGGGCCTGTTATTTCTTGTCTGTTGCCTGTGTCACCGTTTTGGAGTGAGAATGTCTGTCTTATGCCAGTCCCACCACTGCATTTTGGAGGGAGACAACTTCTCTGATTTCATGGGCTCACGGCTGCAAGTGTCACCGTCGAAGGCTGCTGGGCTCGCCGCGTAATAGAAATTAACAAGAGGCCAAAGGGGAGTCACAGGCAAGGCTGTATTGGGGAACATACGGGAAGCAACACAAAGGGAAAATCCCGAGGATGGACCCCCCAAGGGGAATTGGGGGAGAGTTTTAAAGAGGCTGAGGGCCGGGCGAGGGGGCTCACGCCTGTAATCCTAGCACTCTGGGAGGCCGAGGCAGGAGGATTGCTCGAGGTCAGGAGTTCGAGACCAGCCTGAGCAAGAGCGAGACCCCATCTCTACTATAAATAGAAAGAAATTAAAATTAGCAGGCATGTGGCGCACGCTGTAGTTCGGCTACTCAGGAGCTGAGGCAGGAGGATCGCTTGAGCCCAGAAGTCTGAGGTTGCTGTGAGCTAGGCTGACGCCACGGCACTCACTCTAGCCTGGGCAACAGAGCGAGACTGTCTCAAAAAAAAAAAAAAAAAAAAAAAGGCTTAGGTGGGGGCCAGGGGCCGTGGCTCACGCCTGTAATCCTAGCCCAGTCCCCGCCGGGGATCGAGGTGTCGTGGGCGGCTGGGGGCGGCTCAGGGGCAGGTCCGTGATCTCTCCGGGCCTGGGGGCCGGACGCGGCGCGGGGCCCTGCGGTGTGCGGCTCTGTGCAGGGGAGAGCGCGGGGGCTGGGCTGGGCCTGGGGCACCATGGGCTCGAAGCAGCAGGAGGCTGGTGGGCGGTGCACAGCTCTGCGAGTCCCCGCCCTGGGGGCTGGCGGCGTCAGCATGGCCGGGTGTGCCTGCGTGTCCTGGGGGGTGCGTGTCCTGCGTGTCCTGCCGGGTCTCACTTAGTGGACGGATGGACAGATGGACGGAGGGGCAGAGGGAGTGGGGTGGGGGTCCGGTGTGCACACGTGTGTGTGTAGCTGTGAAACGGGCGGTGCCCCCACCCTCCTCATATTGGGCACCCCTGAAGCCCGCCGGCTGGCCGGCCCCGACCGGCCTTCCGCACTGACCGGGTCACCCGGCCCCTCTCGGTCACGGGCGTGGCAGGCACCTGGGCCGGTGCTGGGGGTGAGACGGGGTCTGGGCACCAGCCCCTTGAGAGACTCTGTCTCTGCAAATGCAGTCACACATGCTACACGGCTGTGCACAGCCCTGCATACACACGCTCACACGTGGAGATGGGGGCTGGGCCACGGGCAGTGACACGCTGTGGCACCGGGCTGGTGGTGGGGTCCCCTCACCCCCAGTTGGGTGGGGGGGTCATGGCCCGTCCTGGGTCTCGGAGCCCGGCACCCCGAGTGTGTCCGAGAGGAGGCGGCAACGCTGGACCCCGGGCACGGGGAGCCCACAGACCTCACCCTCCTGGGCCACTGCCGCTGGGTGCCCCAGGCCGGCTGCCTACCCTCTCTGGGCCAGGCTCCCCTTGAAGGTTGGGCTGGGGCTCCCCAAAGGGCCCTCAGCCTGGAGCCGGCACCGTGGCCCTTGGTGTCCCTGGGCCGCTGGGGGCCAGGCACAGGCAGGCGGGCGCCCTGAGCTCCCAGTGAGGCCCCGGGAGGCACGGGGGAGGAGCTCGGCCAGCGTGGGGGCGGGAGCTGGTTTTCTCAATTAGCCAGAACTGAGGGGGAGGGAGGAGGAGGGGACGGCGCCCAGGGCCCCTGGGAGGGACTCGCGGTCAATGGCTGCCGCGGTCAATGGCTGCCAGCAGCCCGGGGACAACCTTCCACTGGAGCTTGAGAGCCGGGCCGTGCAGCGACTGGCCCTGCTGGACTCGAGTCACTGTCACAGCGCAGGGCGTGGCTGTCGTCACGGAGGCTGGGCAGGGCTCAGGAAGCGGGAAACGGCTGGCAGTGCCAGGCCAGCGGTGCCGGGACCCTCCCCGGGAGCCGCTCTGCGGGGGCGGCTGCAGCGAGCACCGTAGACACGGTTCTCCAGGAAGACGCGGCGGGGGGTGTCGCTGTCGTCTGGGAAGTGGCCTGGGCTGCGGGACCTCGGGCGCTCCGGGTGATTCTGGGGTGCTTGGACGGCCGGTAAAGACGCCAGGGTCGGGCTCCACACGCCGGTTTTGTCCCAGCAGGTCTGGGGCGGCCCGAGAGCCTGCCTCTGCCCCGCTCCCCGGACGGCGCTCTCTGTCCCGCCCAGCGGGGAGGTGAGGCACGTGCACACGCGGCCATGACACCCTGGGTGGCGGGAGGGCCCACGGGAGCGTGTCTGTGGAGACCGGGGAGAAGGGGGTGCAGGGGTGGCTCCAGGCAGTCCCATCAGGGCGAGACCGGCTGCTGAGACCCCACCCAGCCAGGGTCTGTGTCGGTTTTCTTCTCTGCCCAATGCCCGGTGCCTCGGACATTCTGCTCGGTGACTGCGTTTCAGATGAATGAATGAGTGAATGAATGAATGAATGCTTAGGGCTCCACTTTCTTAATCAGGGCCTCCCGGCCACTTCCCTTAGTGCTGGGGACCAGGAGGTGACCGCGGCCACCACGAGGCAGGGATGACGAGGCCAAGTTTGCAAGGAGGGCGGGGTGGCTGGGGTTGCCACGCTGGGGCCACATCCTCAGCCCTTTCCGTGGCCCTGGGCAGGGCCGTGGCCGTGGCGGGTGCTTGGATGAGGACAGGCAGGCGAGGAATGGCAGTGCCCCAAGTGCCCTGTGTTCCCGCCCTCCGCTGGGCGTGGCCCCCTCTGGCCCCCTCTGGCGCGGAGCCGCAGCCTGGAGCGCTGAGTCAGCTGTGCCACGCTCCGTGGGCAGGTGGGTGGGTGCGCCGGGGGCGGCTCTCCCAGGATCTCTGGCTCCCGCTGGAACAGCCCTGGCGTGGGCAGGTGCGTGCGTGCGGGCGGGTGGGTGGGGACAGCCCCCACCTGCTCCGGAGGGGGTGGGGAGGCCAGGTGTGCGTGCCGAGTTCCAGGAGGCGGCTGCGTGGATAACGGCACCTGCTCCCATGGGTCAGGGCGCTGGCTGTCTTGTGAGCTTCTCTGTGTGGGGGGCCTCTACCAGGCTTGCAGACCACAGGTGGCAAGTTCTTGGCACTGGGGTGGGGCAGACACAGCTAGGTGGTGCCGCACTCGGAATCTTCTGTGGGCACGGTGGGAGGTGTGGCCCCAGGTGCCCAGGACGCAGTGGCCCAGGTGGGGCTGGAACTCGTCACTCCGGCTCCTCCCCTCGGCACCCCCAGACCCAGCCCAGATGCTGGGACCCCCGTTGCTGATGTGGGTGTGGCGTCTGGCATCCTCGAAATGCCATGTGAACACAGCATCTCACCTGGATGGACGGGAAGGACTCAGAGCACAAAACCTGGGACAAGGCCAGCACAGAAGACCAGGCGCGGTGGCTCAC